TACAAAACTCGATTTGCTGAATAATGAAATCGGTCAAGAGAAGATGAGGTTGGTAGATATTGAAGATGAAAACAAGTCACTTCGAGGTACGCGTTTTTTTTTATATTGAATATATGTTAATAGTGTTATATAAGTGTTTGCTAATTTTTCATATTAATTTATTTATTTATTCAGACCAAATGCAAGGAATGGCCGATCAATTGGCGTCCAAGGATGAATTATTTAGTCAATGGCAGGCAAAGGTGTGAAAATTTTTATGAACGGTTATCGAATTACGGAAATCAATTTTAAGGCATTTAATCAAAAAAATTATTATTATTATTATTTTCTTTAGTTGGTTGAACAGACACAAAGAGAACGCGATGTGCTAATTGAAGAAATGGATGAAGAGCGCGCGCAATTCAAAGAACGGATCAATCAACTTGAAGATGCTTTAAATATCGCCAATGTAGAAATTACACGATTAACTATCGAGATGACTGATCTAGCCAATTCACAAAAAAAGAGACGAATGTCAACAACTAGTAGTACGACGGATGAGAATAGGTCTTCCTTGGATATATTATTTAATGGCAAGGTTTGTTTCCGATTCATAAATTTATATAATCTTTATAATGTATGTACTAAACTCTAATCTTAAATTTACTAGAAGAGTAAAGATGATGATCGATACGAACTTACGAAACAAATCTTAGAAATCACACAACGAAGGATAAGCCTACAAACGGAGCTTACACTATTAGAAGACCAGTATGATGATTTAAAGGTAAATAGGGTACTAAATGTCAAAGATCATATACGAAGTTCTTATGTGGGTACTTTTTTTATTTATATTGATGTAATTTTTTTTTGCCGATTTAAAATTAAAAAGATTCAATCAAATCAACTCTCGAAGGAGAACCAACTACTTCGGCAAGAAAATGACTCCCTTAAGCAACAAATCGAAAAAAAAATGTTTATGAGGTCTCTAGAAGATGTCAATTTGAATGAATAAAAGTTATATGTGGAACTTCTCTTTTACTTGTCAAAAATTTTTTTTTTGGCGTGCATAATATGCGGGTCATTGATTGAAAAGTTTCACAAAATATTCCTCTAAATACTTGAAATGTCACAAACTATAGACTATAAATTATTTCTAGTTTAAATTTATAATGAAATCTCAATCTTTCTCTTCAATCTCTTGTGTGATATAGGCTAAAAAATAATCTATAAATTCAGTTCATTATCTATTAACGTAGGAATTGGCGAATGAAAATAATCAGATATTGATTTATCTGAAGAATTTCACATGGCTCAACTCCTTTTTGTACTCTGTAAATAGTTAAGGTTGTAGCGATTTTGGTTAATTGATTGTAGTTTCATATATCTGTATATTGGATATCGATATATTTGGTGGTCGTTTTGTG